TGTGCATTTCAAAATAGATATCCCCAAAACACCTCAAACCAAACATACTCAAAAAAAAAGTCATTATCTTTCCCCCACCAAACTCCCTATTCTTTCAAACTTCTCTGTTTCTGTCAAAGGTACCATCATCTTTTCACTCTTCCAACTTTCTGCTCTCAGCATTATGCTCTACACTCCACTTTACCTCACCCTACATGTCTAATCAGTTCCTAATCTTGCCATTTCTATACACAACATCTTTTGCATCTGACCCCTTCTTTCTACTCAGAGGATGATAGACCTTAATTGAGGCTTTTATCCCTTCTAATTCAAATTATTTCAACAACCTCCTAATGGTCTTCCTAACTCAAGTTTCTCCCCACTACTATCCACCCTCCAATTTGTTGCCAGTGAATTTCTTAAAAAATAGCTCTGACCATGTCACTCCCCAACTCAGTGACCACTGGAATAAAATATAAAAGCCTCTGTTTGGCTTTTGAAGTCCTTCACAATCTGACACAAACCTATCTTTCCAATTTTGTTGGACATTACTCGTCCTCCCGCTCTCTGTAATCCAGCCAAACTGGCCCTTCTCCATTCCTCACATGTGACCTTCCATCTCTCCCAGCCAGATGCCTTTGTACTGGCTATGCCCCCAGTCTGGAATAGAATGGGCCCCTTCCTTACTTCTGCCTGACAGAATCTCTCTTTTCCTTCAAGCTATAGATCAAGCATTGAGGACCATCTCCAGTTGTTCTGATCTATATCTTGCCACTGGACCCAGATGGTTCCAGAGAAGAAATCAAGGCTGGTAACTTTGCACAGCTTTCTCTGACTTTGCACAGGCCTCCCTCACTTAAATCTAATTCATTTACAAGTCACAGCATCACCTTCCTGATGTTATGGTCCTCTTCTAGAATAAAGGACAAACAACAACAACTCAGGTATCACTTTCTACATGAAGCCTTTCCTGGTCTCCCCAACTCTTAGTGCTCTCCCTCCCAAACTGCCACACATTTAATTGTGTTGAATTTATTTGTATTTATTCTCTTCACATATATATTTATATATATATATATATACATATACATATGCACTGTATTTTCTATTTACTTATTTTCTTCTGCATTAGAATGCAAGATCTTTGAGATTAGAAACTGTTTCTTTTTTATCTTTGTATCTCCAGTGTCTAGTACAATAGGCTAACGACAACAACAATAATAATATTTATATAGTGGTTTGAGTTTTGCAGAATACTTTACACGTCATTTCAACTAAACCGCACAACTGTATGATGTAGATGCTATTATTATCCCATTTTCTAGATGAGAAAATTGAGGTTGAGTGAAGTTAAATGACTTGCCCAGAGTCACACAGCTAAGTAAATGTCTGAGACAAGATTTTAATTCAGACCTTCCTTGCTCCATGTCTTGCACCCTAACCACTGCAGTTGGAACGATACAGCAGAGCTTCCTCTACAAGATTTTAGGGCCTCCTCTATCTAAAATGATTAATGGTACATATTTAGGCAAAAGGATCGTATATATAGATGCCCTTTCTAGGGCCCATCCATCCCAAGAATTCTCCGACCTTTACAATTAAAAGAAGCCAAACAGTAAAGAAGAGCATCCAATGGGCCTATGATGTTTAGTCTACTTTTCTGGATACTAAAATGACATAAATGATGTAATCCCCCACTTACACTAACAATGTTATTCTTCAATTTGTTGCAGAAAGCGAATTTCAGGAAGTAGTTATAAAAGTAACCTGCTCATGCAAAACACAGCTAAAGTGTTCCTTCTCCGTAAGAGCCTGGCTAATTATCAATTGATTAATCTGCACATTTTAATTATTTGGTTCCCTACTTCTCTAAAGGAAGTGGAAGGCTATTGTGGGGTTTTAGATGCCCAAGACTTCATTACTTATTGCAAACTAACATTCAGTTTAACTAATCCATGACCAGTGGGGAGTATTAACATGAATAATTACCATTACATACAATCTCCCCAAATAAACATGGCATTTAGTGAGGTAGGACCCTTGTTCTTCCTTGCTTCTAATCTTCAAAATGGAATTTACTGCTTCATCATTAATGAAGATTAGCACATTCTTCACACTTATTTTATATTTCTAGTTTCTTTCCTTGATAGCAAAACTGTTTACTAATTGCTTGAATCTGTGATTTATGGATCAATCAGTGATAGCTAAGAGAGAGATCAGCCTTGTTAGAATCTTGAACTTACATATTTAATAATACATATCACTGTATAATAATTATATAATACATTTAATATCATATATAATAATAATTAACAATATTATTATTAGTTAACAGGTATATACTGCTTTAAGGTTTGTAAATCCCTTCACATGTATTATCTCATAACAACCCTCTGAAGTAGGTGCTATTATTATCCCCATTTTTATAGGTGGGGAAACTGAGACAGAGAGGTTAAGTAACTTGCCCAAGATCACACAGTTGGTAAGTATAGGAGTCAAGATTTTAACTCAAGTCTTTCTGACTCCAAAGCAGGGATATGCTGGAGAAAGCTTGAACTGGCTCTTAATCAATTGCTAAATTTTCAGTGAATAATGCATTTTCACCTAGGAAATTATAAAATGCTACAAATTAAGGGCTTGGTTTATTGTTTGGTTGATTATCTAGACTTAAGAAAGTGATAGACAAAATAGTAACAAAGCAGATTAAACTTTAAAGTGTGTTGGTTCATTTTTTTTTTCAGAGAGCCACTTGTTAAACATTTACTATCACATTCCTGATCCAAGGCCAGTGTTCTACCTAACACGCCTCTAGGAAGTTGGGGAATATTCCACCCTTTCACTTAAAAATATCTTTTAAACCAAAATAAATTCCTATTATATACCCAGCACATCCATCTGGCTCCATTTGTGGAATAATAGATTTTGAACTGGAAGAAATATCAGAAATCAAGTCCCACCATTTTATGTCAAAGAACAGGAAATTGAGGCAGAGAGAACTGAAGTGACTTGGCCAAGTTAACACCAATAGTAAAGAACATATCTAGGATTTGAATCTAAGGCCCGTTTTTCCACCATACATTTTGCCTCTCCTAGTTCTCTGACTCTTACCTCAACCAGAAACATTCTGAACAATGGGTTCCCCACTTCTGGTCTCTTTGTTCCACAATCTGTATCCTACATAACTACCAAAATTATCTTTGTCTCAGATCACACTACTACTCAAAAAGCTTCAGTTGCTCCCGATCACCTCTAATAGAATGTAAGCTACTTGAGGAGCAGGGGCTGCTTCATTTTTGTATTTGTATCCCCGGCCCCTAACACAGTGCCTGTCATTAGAAGACACCTAATAAAAGCTTTTGAATTGAATTGACTTGCTTCCAGGATAAATTGTGAGCTCTTCTATTTGGAATTTAAATCTCTTTGCGATATGGCTTCATCCAGATTCATTTTGCATGACTTCTCTTCATATATTCAACATTCCAGCCAAACTGGCCAACTTGCTCTTCCTCATATATGACATTCTGTCATCGATTTCTGGGCCCTTACAACACATTGCCTCCTTTGCGTCTTAGAACCTTGAACTTCCTGTAAGGTTCAGTCTAGTCCATCCCTGTCTTATTTCCACCAATTGCTAATTCTCTCCCATTCCCCAGCCCCGATGTTAACTTTGCATGTGTGTGTATATGTATGTGTATATGTATATGTATACACAGGTACACACACACACACACACACACACATATATATGTATCCACATAGATATTGTATCTAAACAGTAGAATGCAAGTTCCTTGAAGACAGGAACTGTGTCTTCAGCTAGCACAAAATAGGTAATTATTAAATGCCTTTGGAAATGAATTGAGTTATTGAAGAGATAATAGTATTAAAGTCAATAAACTATCATCATGATGATTCCTTTCTTATGATTTAAGGTACAGGAGAGCCCAGAGCTTTAATAAACAAACTCCAACTGTGCATAGCTATTGCAAAGGCTTTGTCTCTGTTTATTTTATTTATTCCAACTTAGGAAAGATAAAGATCATGACCAATAATAAGCACATTCTTGTTTCTCTGGTATTAGGATACATAAAAGGGATAGTTTTAGTTGGCTTGTTTTAAGCATGAAATATTCGTTTGGACATTTTCTTTGTTTGTTTTCTGGGCAGACGCCCCTCCTATAACTTGAACCAAAATATGTTACTACAGGGTCATTGAGGAAACATAAGATCTGAGGCCCTTCTGAGAAATATGATTACATTTTATCATCTTTGGAAGTCATCCAATGTGCCTCTCTGACTGACTTCAGAATAATAGCTCACATTTCCATAGAGCTTTAATGGCTCACCAAGTGCTTGCCTTACAACAACTCTGTAAGGTAAATAGTTTAAATTTTATCTCTTTTTCCACAGATGAGAAAACAAGAGAGACAAACAGAAAGACAGGCAGAGACAGAGAAAAAGAGAGACAATGAGAAAGAAAGACAGACAGAGGAATGGATAGACAGGATGGACAAATGTTATTTATGTTTAAAGATTATATAATGTACAGGGTTGCTTTAAGTGTGTTTAAATGACATCTATTATGTCATTTCCCTACTCACATATATGTGATCTACTTGCCAAGGAGAGTGATGAGCTATAGTTAAAATGTGCTAAGTCTCTAGCTCTGAGGAAGCTGCTGGAGTCCTAATTGGGACTATTAAAAAAGAGTGTAATTAACACTTCAATTCATTGGGGATTGAGGGGAGAGAAATAAAATCAATTGATAAAGTGCAGGCCCATAGAAAATGGTGTAAGAATTTGGGGTTGTTAGTTCATTTTCTCAATCAAAGTAATTGTCTTCTTTTGGCTATGATTGCCATAGACCTTTCTAATGCAATTAACTTTCTTGTTTCAAATAAAATTAAAGTTCAAGATGTAGGCAAACATTTGCTATTGCCCCTTCTAAAAAGTAGAACTAATGTCTACTACCCAATGTCTCATCTGTCTTCTTGTTTTCTTACCTCTGCTCCTCTTTGACAGGTTTCTAGCCAACACTACTTTCAGGGGCCTCAGTGGTTCCATCAAGGTGAAAGAAACCACCGTCCTAAGCTCTGAAAATAACTTTTTCATCTGGAATCTACAACATGACCCAGTAGGGAAGCCAATGTGGACCCGCTTAGGCAGCTGGCAGGGAGGGAAGATTGTCATGGACTATGGGATATGGCCAGAACAAGCCCAAAGACACAGAACCAACTTTCAACACCCAGCCCGGCTACATCTGAGAGTGGTCACCCTGATCGAGCATCCATTTGTCTTCACACGTCAGGTGGATGATGATGGTCTGTGCCCTGCTGGTCAGCTCTGCCTGGACCCACTGACAAACAACTCCTCCATATTGGATGATCTTTTTGACAGCCTCCAGAGCGATAATGATACAGTGCCCATTAAGTATAAGAAGTGTTGCTATGGCTACTGCATTGATCTTCTGGAAAAGCTGGCAGAGGACCTGAACTTTGATTTTGATCTCTACATTGTTGGAGATGGGAAGTACGGAGCCTGGAAAAATGGCCACTGGACTGGGCTAGTCGGGGACCTCTTGAGTGGGACAGCCCATATGGCAGTCACTTCCTTTAGTATAAACACCGCTCGCAGCCAGGTGATTGACTTCACTAGCCCCTTCTTCTCCACCAGCTTGGGAATCTTAGTGAGAACCCGAGACACGGCAGCTCCTATTGGAGCCTTCATGTGGCCACTGCACTGGACAATGTGGCTGGGGATATTTGTGGCCCTCCACATTACCGCCGTATTCCTCACTCTATATGAATGGAAAAGTCCCTTTGGAATGACTCCCAAAGGGCGGAATAGGAGTAAAGTCTTCTCCTTCTCTTCAGCCTTGAATGTCTGTTATGCCATCTTGTTTGGTAGAACCGTGGCCATCAAACCTCCCAAATGCTGGACTGGAAGATTTTTAATGAATCTCTGGGCTATTTTCTGTTTGTTTTGCCTTTCCACATACACAGCAAATCTAGCTGCTGTCATGGTTGGAGAGAAAATATATGAAGAGCTCTCTGGGATACATGACCCAAAGGTAAAAGAAAAAAAAACTAGAAATTTCAGCTTACTTACTCTAGCTGTCTTTACTGTGCACTTAAATGTCATGCTAAATCTCTTGTCCCTTTAGAATTATATACTGTTCAAACTTAAAGGTCATTATGGTCATTTAATCCAATCCCTCATCTTTCAGAAGAGGGCATTGAGGCCCAGAGAAGTTAGGCAACTTGACTAAGGCACTTGCCATAATGGAGAGTAGGATGGAGATCTCTAGGTTGACAATTAAGTGATCTAGCATTTGTTTTCATTTTGCTTGTTGAAATTCTGTCAGGCACAATGAGTTTATCTCTGTCACACACTTAAGGGAGAATCCAGGAAGCCAATTTATTGTCTGGAGTAGGTCATTCTTTAATTTATTGTCAGTGAAAAGAAAGAGGTTCTTGGAAGTAGTTGTTTCAGAGAAGTTCTGCCTATTAAAAATGTCTCTTAACAGTAAATATTCCCTAGGCATTGGCCATCCTAAGCAAAAGATGTCAGCAGTCAAATATCTTGTCAGATACTCCTCATTTCTGGCCTACCCTAGACCCAAGAGAAAAACTAGTCAGTATAAAGCAACTTTACCCAATATAGCCTTTACAAAATGATGAATTGCTTTCCTTTGGGGTCAGTGCAAGGAAATCAGGAAAACAATACATTTGCTCGCTAGTAAAGCATCTATTTGCCCATTAAAAAAGCAATATAGTTGAGGGAACTCACAGTTTATGTTGTGGACCTAGTGTTTATTACAAGGTAGCCTAAACTGAGCACTTCTTACACTCAGAAGCTATTGTGGCTCTTTTCAGGAATATGTCAGTGCAAAGAACAGTACTTTGGACAGTGGTAATTTTTCATTTGGAACTAGGAGTTGCAAAAGCCAAGTAAGTTGACTTGAGATAGAGTAGCTAATAATATTGAATGCTTCTGGCCTCTAGAATTGCTTTCCCCTACGTAAGTTGGTGACTGACAAACCTGGAGTTTGTTCGCATTGTCTTCTGATTACTGTTTCATCGTGCTCAGGGATGCATACTGTGATTAGAATGATAGCTCAGGTTTGATGGAAGCATAGTCTTTGGTTAAATCTTAGATTAAGCTTTCATTAAATTAGCAAGTAGTAAATATTTCTCAAAGCAAATTAGAAATGGGGTTGCCCTTTGCAGAGGAAAGAAGGTAACATTGGATCAATTATTCAGCAGGCCACTGAATTGGGGAATGCTTGCATGGTCAAATATATGCACTTTTAAAGTGCATATAGACTAACCACTTCTTATAGGATTGAAACATCTCACTATAAAATTTCATTTAAAATACATTTTTAAAACCTCATTTTCATAACAATACCCATGAAGAGAATGTTTTCTATGGTCCTTAGCAAAAAGCTAAGGATGAAATAAACCAATCTTCATAGCCCTTACAGCCCCTGACAAGTTTTCAATAGTTCTCCTGGTTTATATTAAGCCTTTAGATTTGTTTTGCAACCAAAGCCAATAACAAATTTTGCCTATGTAGCTCCCAATAAACGGCACTGCCCTTGTAATGGGATTCAATTAGAAATGAGTCATCAGGAGTAGGTAATGAGTTCCTTTCAGTGAAAGAACATTCAATGATTTACTTGGAATTCAATGAACATTTTTCAGTTCCTTAAGCCTCAGATGTACAATTAAAACAGCAGCCAACTTAACAGGTGAACGTTGAGGATTGAACATGTCTCCTCCTCTCCTTTTTGGACTAATTTCCCCTATCTCTAAACATTCTGAATCCCTTCTAGTGGTAGGACTCTAACTAAGGTCAGTGGATTCTCCACAAACTTCCATAAATCTTTAGTGTTACGTGTTTAAGAGACTGTACATAAACAACCTAAGCAATATGAAACAAATCAATTCTGTGTAGTATGAAAATCAGAAAACAATTTTGGACAAAAGAACTAGTTGGCTCCCTGTCTCCATGCAGATTTAGAGATGTTCAGGAAACATAGAGCACAAAATGAGACAGCAAGGCAAGCCAGCTTTATTGAGGGGAAATACTTAAAATATGAAGATCAGTCAAGGAGAATGGTGAACATGGGTTCACTCTGCTAAAGCCCTGGTGAAATTGAGTGAGCTCACTGAACCCCTACAAGGGATGGAGTACCCCCACAGTAAAGTCAAGTAGGTTTTTATAGGGTTCTTATCTGGGTCTGGTAGGACCAGTCGGTAGGGGAAGGGAGTGAGGAATCCAGACCTGAGGACTGGTGCTGATTCATGCTTGTGGGGAAAGGGAAGACTCCTAGAGAAATGGCTAGTTGATATTCAGATTCCCCACTGGTGGGAAAAGGGGCTTTGGGTCATTATCACTGATCTCACTCTTCCCAAGTGACTCAGGAGTTTGAGATTCCCCAGGATTTCTTCATTTAGCAGGGTAGGGAGGCTACTGGGATCAATTAAACCACCTAAACTTTGTGTTTTTCAAATACTAGTTAAAGCATAATATAGAACCAAATTTCATATTTTAGATGTTTCTTCCTCCAAATTATAGAGGGAATGTAGTACCAGTGCCAAAACAAGAAGCTGAAAGGTGAAAATTCCAATCAATAAACCCAGGGTAGGATTTTTTTTAATGTCATCATGATGAAAAAAATAGTTTCACCAATTTTTTTCCCACTGAGTTGTTTTGGGGTTATATAAACATGACCTGTTTAAATATGAGGAAATCTTTCCTGGGATTTCTTTGAAAATGGACCTAAAGGTTTTTAGAACTATAAGGAGTCTATTGAAAAATACTATAAGAGAGTCAAGCCTTACCATTTTCAAGAAGGATCCTATTAAGTTGTAGGAGAATTCTAAGATCATGCCAAGAAATGAGCAGCAGATGTACAATCAAAGATTTAGAATGGAAAGGAACCTTAGAGATCAAGCCCCTTATCTTGCAAATGATGAAACTGGAGCTCAGAGGTTAAATCACTTACCCAAGGTCACCTCAGGGGCAAAGTTAGGATTTTAACCTAGTTCCTCTGACTCTAAATCTAGTGACTCCCCTATATCCTAACATTGCTAATTCTCTGTTTCTATCATTATAAATTACCTTTTTATTTTGCCAAGTCATTGCATCCCCTCAACTGGCTAAGGGAAGACCAAAGTGCTTGACATGCCAAAATTAGTGGGAAAAAACTTTCTATTTTTATCTTGGAACTCAGCATTTTCCAGATTATCAATTAATTGAATATGTTCATAATGCTATCTATTGCCAAATAGCTGGCTTGTTATATCTAAATCATTGTCATTACAGAACCAAAGACTTAAATATACACAGAATGTTAGAGCTAAAGGAAAATGTATCTTAGAAATGGAGAATTGGATGACTAGAATTTTTTAAATAACTACAGCAGAGGGCGAAGGGGAAAGAGAAGGAGAAAGAGAGAGAAAATGAATGGAAATATTTAAAACTGAAGAATAATTTAGAGAAAGAAGAACAGGAATTCAATGCATTTAGCCTTCCATCTGGGGCACCAAGTTTACCATCTTCGTTAAGTTAAAACTGCTTCATGGATATTCAATTTGCATTATTATTATTGTAGTGTCTTCTAATCTTTCACTTTATGCACACTTCCTGCAGAGCTTCAGCATTCCAATATATAGATCACCAAAGCCAAGTTATGCATACTGCACATCTTAAATGTGAGGGAAAAATTATTTTAGGGTACTTAAGAGGAAATCATAAAGACAAAACCCTAACAGGTCCCTATCAAATTGCAACAAGACAAGCCCAGCAGATAAGCCTGCTCCCCAAGTAAAAGCTGAGGATAATTTTTCAAACCTTACTTATCCCTCAGAACAGGAATCAATCAGTAGAATTGGAAAAGATCAATACTGCATTACAGCTAGTAACTAGCTAGGTTATTGCCTCAGGGATAAAATAAGAACTCCTCAGCCTGCCACTTAAAGCCTTACAAGATCTGGCTTCAGCCTGGCTTTCCATACTTTCTCTCACTCCATTTTTAATAAGTTGTATCAATGCCTTTTCTTTTTTGTAGTGCTTACAGCCACCTCTAGATACACTCCCTACCCCCATCTCCTAACAACAAATCTCACATTGTAACAAAGAAAAGCAGTTAAAAGCAAGACCAGATGACACAATGACCATTCCAGACGTTTCCTGTCATTCCTTCCTTCTTCATCATGTATTCAGTATTCCAGCCAAATTGGACTCTTAGTCGTTGCCTGAACTTGGCATTCAATCCCCCATCTTTGTCCCTTCATTAGGCTGTCCCTGATGCCCAAAGCATATAGTATGCAGTGCACCACTGGCCTTTGGAGGAAGGCAAGTCAGAAAGGGAACATGGTCATTCCCTCCCCATTAATCCTGTGAAATCAGCCACAAGCAAGACTAAAATCACATCTAGAATTCCCTCCCCGCCTCAGTGACTCCATTGCTCAGAATCCTTGTCTTCTTTCAAGGCCAGGTCAAGGACTACCCCTAATAGAAAATTTTTTCTTGATTCTCTCCCAATTCGTAAATACTATCTCCCTCTCAAATTACCTTAGAAATACTCAGCTAGGTGGAATAGTGGTTAGAGCTTTGGATTTGGAGTCAGGAAGACCTGAACTCAAATTTGAACTACAATATTTACTAGCTGCATGACCTTGGGCAAATCACTTAACCTCTCTGTGCCTCAGTTTCCTCATCTGTAAAGTGAGTTCAATAATAGCATCTGGCTCCCAGGATCACTGTTAGGATAAAATAAGATACTTGTAAAGTACTTTTCAAAACAAAGTGCTATATAAAATGCTAGTTGTTGTTGTTATTGTGGTGGTGGTGGTTGTTACTATGTATTTGTTTTATTCCTTCAGCCTAGTTCAATGTAAGCTCCCTGAGAAGAGAAACTACTTTGGTTTTTTTTTGTCTTTGTGTCCCCAGCACATATGAGTGGTACCTTTCACAGGCTAGTTTTCCTTCTGCAAACTCTACTTACAGGCTATGTCTACATTGTACCAACCAGACTTCAAGTCTACACATCTCACAGTA